TGCACACGGCCCCCCGCCCCCCCAGCAGGCTCTTTTACTTAAAATGGGTATGTCTTTTGCATGAAACCTTCCAACTATCTATTGGTTGGATAAAGTTGGTCTTTATTCAAATAAATAATTTTATTTCCAACAGTCTGTATTATCTGTATTGAATGTTGGTTGTATATGTGCGTACATTCATATGAAGATTTTCTTTATTCAGCTTGTATAATATAGACTCGAAAACATTATACTTTTTATAATTAAATATTAATGTCTTACATATGGATTTACTCTGTAAGGAAGAATTGAAGGGGTTAGTCCCCCAAGTTCACGCACATGGAAAATATATTTTAATGCCCGTGTTTTGGGTCATAAAATTCTTGAGTCATATTTTCTCTCCAGCAGAGTTTTATGGGCATAAATAAACTTTCATTTTCTTTTGAGAAATCAGGTCAGATTGGTTCTCGTCTTGTCAATGATCTGATCTCCTTTTGCTTATTTCGAAGTTGTCAATTGCAAAATGAACAAATCTTTTAGAATTTCTAATGTTTACTCTTGAGAGAGAGAGAGAGAGCAGGGGAGGGGCAGAGAGAGAGGGAGACACAGAATCCAAAGCAGGCTCCAGGCTCCGAGCTGTCAGCACAGAGTCTGACGCGGGGCTTGAACTCATGAACCTCAAGATCATGACCTGAGCCGAAGTCGGACACTTAACTACCTGAGCCTCCTCCTGCCTTTTAGAATTTCTAAAAGAAAGAAGAGTTTTACCAGAGCGCAAGTGAAGCTGCTGCTGGGACCCACACTCGCTCTGGAAGCAACCTTTAGTGTGGGGGATTCTCACATGAAGAGCCACAGATCTTCATGAACGAAGAACATTCCAGAAAGTCACCGACTCATGTCCTGTTTCCAGTACGTGCAAGGCTGCAGTCTCCAACCTTATGGGAACGTGGGGAGGTCTTACTCTTATCTTTCTGTTTGCAACGTTTCCTGCAGGTTATTTGCCGCTGAAGTAGACGTATGGCATGTACTCAGGGCAGAGAAGGAGCCCCTGCTGGGAAGTCTGGTCGTGTCGTTCTGGCCTTGGTCAAAGTAGAGCCTTCCTGGGCACTCAGGAAGTGCCTTAAAGCTGAATATCTCCTGTATTTTATTGAGCCCAGTAACTGTATTGACTGCTCTGGGTTTTTTCCTGAGAAGTTTAATAATGTTCTGAAACACTGTTCGAACACTGTTTCGAATCGTGTTGGTTGGTTTAAGATTCCCTATCGTCTTTCTGCAACTGGCCGGGACTGGTGGGACTGCATTGAGGGGCAGCCCCCAGGACCCCCAGGTGTGAGCATGTGTGAGGTGTGGTGATGGGCTTCCACAGGTCTCTGGCGTTGGGGGTGTGTGACCTCTGAGGTTTCCATGCAGACGACCCGCAGGGTGACACTGACTCCAGGGAGGAGGCTTCTGGGTGGAGGGACCCCCCCACACACAAGGCCCCCCTCAGAGCCAGTGTGGGCCTCGTGAGTGACTGTGGGGTTTTCTCTGAGAAGGGGAGGGCTCTGGGAGGGTTTCCAGCAGGTGCATGGGGTGGGGGAGGGTCCAGAGAAGGTCTTGGAAGGTCTGCTGTTGCCACCTAGGGCGGTGGGGTGCACCGGGAGGCGGGGGTGCACAGGTGGGCCATGGGCCCCAAGCAGGCCATGCACAGTGGGCTGTATGGTGTCCTCTGAGTGTGTAGGGCTTCACAGTGGAGCCTACAGGGTTTGGGGTGGATTAGACATGGGGAGTGAGACAGAGCAGCCGTGAGTGTGGGTGGCCACGGAGACGGAGCAGGGGGTGTGCGGTGGTGGGGCAGGAACCCGCAAGCTCCAGGGAGCTGCCAGTGCCCAGGTGGCGTGTGGGCATCTGGTCCCTCCAGGGCCAGGACCATCAGTGTGTAAATGGTGTTTGAGCCGGAGGACCGGAGGACGTGGAGGGATGCATGCAGGAGGACTAGGACCTTCGTCCCGGGTCCTCGGTCAGGAGTTGGGGGGAGGGCGGGAGCAGCGAACGGACACCGGCCAGGGAGGAGAGGCCAGACTGCAGACGCCTCAGAGGCCAGGAACGTGCCTGAATGTGCGGGAGGAAGGCGGGGGTCACTTGTCTGCAGCTCACGGGCTTGGGTATCCCGGAACCATTAACCAAACCCAACTTACCTGGGACCCAACTTTGATTTCTCTGACTTAAATGGTCTTCATGCTTTCAAACCATTTATTCTTTTTTTTTTTTTTTGAGTCTTTTAAAGCATTTTTATTTAAATCTGTAAATGTGCACAGAGGACACAGGATGTCCCCAGGCCTCTGGCTCTGCACAGGAGTATGCTGGAACAAGGAAACAGAGTGAGAATATCCTACTGCATTGTGGGACAGAGACATATCCTCATTATAGCTATTAAATGTAGGTAACATTTGTCTAATTAGCCCTATTGTAGGGGTGTCTGGGTGACTCAGTCTGTTAAGTGTCTCACTTCGGCTCAGGTCATGATCTCACGGTTCTTAGGTTTGAGCCCCACATCGGGCTCTGTGCTGACAGCTCGGAGCCTGGAGCCTGCTCCAGAGTCTGTGTCTCCCTCTCTCTCTGCCCCTCCCCTGCTCACACTCTGTCTCTTTCTCAAAAAGAAATAAAAAAAATTAAAAAATGAATTAGCCCTACTGTAATTGCATTCTCCTTTTACAAAATCTTGCATTTATGCATCTAACCTACAAAATGTGAAAAACGCTCTAGAGAGTTGAAGAAAGGAGTTGGAATGAATCACCGTCAGAAGACAGGAGATATATTTTAAAAATAGAGTTAGGTGTTTCCACACACACCACGAAAAGGTCCTGCTACCGGTCAGTCCTAACTGCAAATAGTCCTGTTTGATTAAGTAACAAGATTCATGCAACAGAAAAGAAAGTAGCACCATAGAATCTGTAAGTTCAAATAAACATCCATTCTTGTTTTTGTGTGATGGTGACAGGTATGTGTGCACCTATGTGCTACCTGTCCCAACATGGGGCCGTCTTTTGTTTGGTGTGACTGTGTCCTTGTTGGCTGCCTGTGAAGGCGGCCTCTTTGGGGACCCACACACATGCAGGCAGGTGGGGGGGGCAGGCTTTTCTCTTATTCTGATCAAAATAGGAGATGACCTCAGCTGGGCAAGCAGGTAGGGAGGGAGCCTCAGACTGGGGAGACCGGATGGGACCCACAGCATAATCCCAGTGGGGGTGGTGGCTGGGAAGCTCCTCCATGGGGATCAGTCAGGATGCGTAAAATAGAAGCCCCACTGCACCAGCTTAATCCCCCCGTGTGAGAACAGAGGAATCTGTCAACACCACTGGGGGCCAAGATTTCATCTATATTTTTGGCCCACTATCTTTAGTAGGTGAGCAAAGGGGCTGCTCACCTCTGGGCCTTGCATCTATATCCCAGGATAGGCAGGCAGCAAACAGCAAAGTATACTCTGGAAGCCTCCTTCTTCCCAAGTAGATCTCACTGGCCTCTGTGGGTCCTGTGGCCACTGGGCTGCAGAAGAGACTGGGAGGTGCTGGGAAGTTGAGGGGAAAGTGGATATCAGCTGGGTGCTGGGGTGGCCTGCCCCACACAGACTGTGTGGTGAGGGTCTGTAAGAGCTAAGCCCAGCAGCCTGCAGCCCCCTTCAGCATGTGGCCACCAATTCAAAATGGCGCCAGGGAGCATTGGGGTCATGACCCCTGTGTGTCCAGGCCTGGCTGTGGAGAGTTGGGCTCACCTTGCTGGGTCGTGAGGATGGCTGTGGGTCGAGGTCACGGGTGCCATGCCGGTGAGCTGGAGGGTCCTGAGGGGTCCCTGCAGGTGAGAGTAGGGGAAAGCAGCAACTACCCCAGGAAGGGTGGGCCAGGAGGGGGCAGGGTGACCCCGGGTGCGTGTGCATGTCACCCTGAGGCTGCTGGGCTCAAGGACCAGAAGGGAGAGTGTTTGGGAGGTGGGGGTCCCTGTGAGGGCCTTCTCAGTAATCAGTCTTGTGGGGCTGGGGAGGGAGATCTGTGGACCATCGTCTTCTGGAAGGTGGGGAATGGTGTGGCCTCCTTTCTGGCCTCTGGCCGAGCAGTGCGCCCTGGCAGGAGTGCGTCCTCATCCAGGGGTGCATGGGGTTCCCTGGGACCCTCCCCAGAATGGTTGCATCTGGATCTGCAGATCAGTAAGATTCCTGGGGTAGGGGGTCTGTGTGCACTGAAGCTTGAGGGTGCTGACCTTAGGGACCTGGAGAAGTGGGGCTTTTGTCCCCTGCCTGGGGACAGGAGCACTGACTTGTTGGTGTCCTATACTGCTGGGGGCTCCAGGGCTGGGGCGTGCTCCTCTGTGCCTGGACCTTGCACATCTGGGTCCCTGTGTCCCCTTTGCCCGCTGCATCACCGCCTGGGACCAGGGCTCCTGAAGTGCAGCCCAGCTCTGTCTTGGGCTCCAGCTTGTTCCTGAATGACTCAGGCCCCCCCATCTGAGGCTCCCTGTCCTCCCAGAGGGCATCCTTGCTAGCCCCTCGGTCCCCGTTGCCAAAGTCCTGGACGCTTCTCCTCTCCACCTGCAGCTAGAGTGCCTGGTCCTCCAGGAAGGGGCCCTGACTGACCCACACACTCCAAGCCACACCCTGTGCCTCCCCTTCTCAGTGTCACCTGTACGTGTGCAAACGTCTGCATACCCTCAGGGCCGCGTGTGCCTGCTGTGTCACACCCCAGGGCCTGGCTAAATTCCCTGGGCTGATGAGTGAGGGAGTGAGCGAGTGCAGTATTGTGGTGCTGGGAGTGAGGGAAGAAATATAGAGTTGACCAGAGGAGAGAAACTGCAGGGAAATCCATGGAGGGAAACCCCAGCTTTAAGGTAAAGTACCTGAAAACCTCCCAGGCCTGAGTGCAGGGAGGGCAGGGAGGGGAGGGGAGGGGTGTGGAGGAGTGCGGTGGGACAGGAAGGGAAGGCAGGAGGGGGTTTGCTGCCCTGGAGCTTATCTGCTTCCTGCCTGGGACATGTGGTGCTGAGCCCAGGGAGCTGCGCGGGAACAGGGTACCTGGAGCCTGGCTGGCTCTGCCCCCAAGACCGGTGCTGGCCCGTGGGGACCTGGGCTGGATGAGCCTTCACCCAGGAAGGGAGGCCTCTGAGTTGGGGGCTCCAGGCCCTCTGGAGACTGGCTCACAGGTGACAGGTGGGTGGGTGCAGGCTGGTGGAGGGCCCCAGTGAAGTCAGAACTCCTCTTCCTTGCTCCACATGGTGGGCTCGGGCTTTTGGGAGTCCTGTTGTGGGCTGGGGGACCCTGGCTGCCCCATGTGGCCGAGTCCTCAGTGCTGGGACAGGGGCTCTTGAGGACCCAATGGCTGCAGCATGGGGGCCCCAGGGAGAATGCTGCCTGGATGACCGTCCCCACAGGGGAGGGCACTGGGCTCAGGGGTGATGGGCAGAAGGGGCACACGGGTCCCTCTGGGTGGTCTTCCTGGTGCTGCCTGCTTGGCGGCCGGTGGCTGACGGGCACCCCATGTGCTGGCCACCAGCCGGGCATTCCTAAAGGGGCCTGAGGCCTGGCTGGACTCTGTCCAGCAGTGGCACCTGGATGACTGACGTGAGGGGTCATGCCTGCTGACCCCTGCCCAGGGCAGCAGTGGCAGGAGCAGATGCTTGTGTCTCCCTGAGGGACACAGGCCTTGAAGGTCTGCTCTGGAGGGTGAGGACAGGGCCCAGCCCCCCCGACCCCCCGCCCAGCCCAGCCTCTTGTCCTAACCCGGAAGCGGGGAGGCTGAGGGGCGTCCAGGGCTATCCAGTTACCCCAGGAGCCCGCGGACACCTCCTGGCTGGGGGCGGGGCTCCCCTGTCGGACTGCTAGCTCCAGGCTGGGCCCCCAGAGCCCATGGGGACAGTTTTGGCCACAGCCAACGTCTCAGTGCTAGTTCCCACCGGACACAGTGACCCCGGGCTGCTCAGAATACTCCAGGCTCCTCCTTGGCCGTGAGGTCCCCGCACGGAGGGATGGGCTGCTGGGTGGAGGTATTCTGTCTGGCGGGGCCTGCGGGTGGGTTTTATGAATGGCCTGAGGCACTGTGAGCCCACCCGCTACTACCCACTCTGCCTCAGGCCTGCACAAAATCCACCAAGGACCTCCAGGTGGGGAGGCTGCACTGGGCAGCCTGTCTCCTGGAACAGGACCCTCCTCAGGCTATCACTGACCCCCTGAAATGGGTGGGAGGATGCAGACCTCAGGCCGGGAGGCAGGCCCTTCTGCTGGTGGACCCACTTGGGGGCAGGGGTTTCTGGCCTGGAGGGTGTCACTGTGGGACCAGCTTCCGCTATACCACCATGACACAGACTGACTCATAAACCTCCTGGCCTGCTGGGGGCTCAGCCCCCTCCTGGGTCTTGTCTGATAGATGAACGCTGGGGGCTCAGGCCCCTCCTGGGTCTTGTCTGATGGGCGGACGCTGGGGGCTCAGCCCCCTCCTGGGTCTTGTCTGATGGACGGATGCTGGGGGCTCAGCCCCCTCCTGGGTCTTGTCCCATGGATGGCGGGGGGCGGGGGGGCTTCTCCATGCTGGACACTCCCTCTGAGCTCTGGAGTCTGGAGTTCCAGTGCGTGAGGATTCTGGGGCACGTTCAGCCCAGTCTGGTGTCTGGTTGAGCCCCATATGGGTGGGTGGGCTCTGAGGCAGAAGCCAGCCTCCCCCAGCCCACCCTGCGTGGAGCGGGGCTGCAGCCTGAGCCCGGGTCTGGTGGGCTGGCCTCCTGCTCCTTGGGCTCTGGGCCCCCGGGCATGTTGGGTCCGTCCTGTCTGTGAGGGGTCTGCTGCTCAGCCATGCTGGCTGGTCAGTGTCAGCCAGAACGGGATGCCTGAGGGCAGAGGGGCAGAGGGCTCAAGGAAGGGCTTTTGGGTCTGTCCTGGGCCACTGAGGGGGTTGTGACACCTTGAGAGGGTCTGTACAGAGTCTCCCCTCCCTCCCGTTCCCCCTGGGGTAGGGGTGTGGCACCTCAGCCCAGCTCCCCCTGCAGCAGCCTCAGCCACTCCCCTGCACTGGCAGTGCCCTGTACACCTGCCCTCCACCTGGCAGGTGTGGGGTCACGGGCGCCGGGACTTGGGAGCCGGGCCAGCACCCTGGGCTCGGCCCCGGGCTCACAGGGCGCTCGGCAGGGGGGTCAGCTCAGATCTCGGTCAGGTTCCGGGCCTGAGCTGCCCCCGCCCCAGTCGCTGTCTGGTATCCGCTCTGCAGGAGTCACAGTGCTGTTGGATATCATGGTGGGGGAGCCCGGCTCCCCATCCTCTGTGGCTTCCCCTCCCCGGAAGGGTCTTAGCACAGCACGTGGAGGGAAGAGGAGGGAGAGCTCAGGGAACAGGGAGAGGAGGTGAGGGCTGGGGGCCATGGGGAGGGCTCCCTGCAGAGGGCCTGCCAGCTGACTGTACCCCAGCCACGTGCCCAGGCCCGAGCCCAGGGTGCAGGAGGGCCTCCTGGGTGTGCAAAAACCCCACGCCATCCTCTTGTTCTCAGAGGGGGAGCCTCCCAGGCAGTGAGGCCGGGCGGCTGGGAGGAGAGGGGCCGGCTCTGGAGGTCAGCGCTGTCCATACCCTTTCCTCCCAGGGTGCTTGCGCTGGACCCCGGTGCCCAGACCACAGTGCCCCAGCCCTGCCTCAGGACAGCACCGGCTTGAGGTCTGCAGCCTCTGATGACAACTGGGGGGACAGCATGAGGGGACAGGGCCCAGCCCCTAGCAGGAAGCAGTGGGGCCCAGGGAGGGAGGCTGGTTTTGAGCATAAGCCGTGTCGCCGTAGGAGGTAGTATCCCGGTACCCACAGTGACAGAGGCTCAGACAATATGGCCTGTCCCTGGGGCCCAGAGGCAGGCCCTGCTCACAGCTGCTCAGCCTGTCCTGGCTGAGGCCACGGTCCCTCAGTCTGCCTCCGAGGGACATGCTGAGGCAGGTGTCCCCTGGGGAGGTTGAGTGTGGGCTGGGGTGGGAGCTGGGGCTTGGTCGAGGGGCCCTGGGTCCCCCTGGGTCCTGACCCTGGCGTGGCTCATCTATAGTCTGTGGTGAGGAGCTGGGCATCTAGGACTGGTCCCTGTGGCCTGTGGAGGGGGTGCTGATGGAGCCTCTGTGGAGGGGAGGACCGACGGATGGACGTGGGGTGACCTGTGCCAGCCTGGGGGCTCTGTGCTCACTGTCCTGGTGAAGGCAGGGCGGCTGCTGGGCCTGGGCTCTGTGACTCACAGGCCTGGTCCCTCTGCCCCTGTGTGCACCCAAGCCTGTGGTTTCCTCCTCCCCAGGCCCAGCACAGCCCCTCTGGCTATGGATGTGCCTCCTCATTTAGAATCAGTCAGCCCCGGAGACCCCCTGAAGCACAGACCCCAGCGTGAGGGGCCCATCCCTCCAGGGCCAGAGGCTAGAGGTGAATGCCTCAGACTGAAAAGGGTGAGCTGCCAGGCCTGGGGTCAGAGGGTGGGCCCCCAGGCAGCAGGTGGTGCTGGGCCTGGTTGCTGCTATGAGGGGCATCACTGTGGTACCACCGTAGTTATAGACACTGTCTGATGCCCCATGACAATAACCAGGGCCTGGCCCCTGCAGGCGGGGCTGGGGGGAGGAGCTTCCTCAGGACGGGGAGGGCCCAGGGGCCATTAGGGCTGTGGAGGAGGCTTGGATCTGCCCTGGGACCAGGATGCATGCCCGTTGCTGCGGTGGGTGCCTGGAGGCCGCAGTCTGCAGCCCTGGGTGGGCTGGGACGGGAGAGGACGTGCCCAGAACGCCTGGGCTGGTAAAGGTGGATGCAAGGACTGTGGACTCCTTGTTCGTGGATGCCAGGACTGGGAGGCACTGGGGCAGGCTGGAGATGGAGGTGTGGGTCTGCTGCATTGCTGGGGCTTGAAACAGTTGCTCCAGGGTGGGAACAGCGGCATCGGGGGCCATGGGCTGGCCGGTGAGGAGCTGTCCGCTTGTGGGAGTCTGCGGTGGGCTGGCAGGGACCTGGGGCTCGGGCTCAGGTCCGAGGGGCACTGGATGGGGCCGGCAGTGGGGGAGGAAGGTAGTGGCTTCCAGACAGGCCCTGTGGAGGGGACAGTCCCCAACGCCACTGCCCTTTGCCTTTGCCTGCCCATCCGGGAGATTCGGGCTGAGCTTCGCTGCTGTAAGTCATGCAGTAGATGCGGTCCTACCCCAACCTCCCCCCTGCCCCACCCGCAGTTAAAATCCCTGCTGTCCTACAGCCAGTCTCCCAGGAAGGTCCACCCAGTGGGGGTGCCCCTGCTGGGAACAGAAGCCTGGACATGGGCAGGGGCAGAGTGTGTTTAGGAAGGCCCAAGATGTGCAGGAGAGGGCCGGAGCTAGGGGGCCACGTGGCTGGGAGCTGGATGAGGCCCTGGACAGCGTCCTTCCCCAGGAGCCTGGCGGGTACGGAGGGGAGCGCAGCTCTGGGCCCCTAGCAGGGCCTGGGCTGGGCTGGGTTAGGCTGGCTGCTCGGAGGGGCTTTCCCTGGAGGGCACTCACTGTGGGTGGGTTTCTAGCCTCCCGGCAACGACCAGAGCCCGCACCGCCCGTCTCCTGGGGGACAGGCCCCAGGAGCCCCCGCTGGCCCGTCCAGGATCAGGACCCATGTCCCTGAGGACGGCACGGGCTGTGAGGTGCCCCACTCCCTGAGAGCCTGTCCTGCCTCCAGTATCAGTGAGCTCCTACGCAGCCTAGTGTGGGCCTAGCTCCAGTGTCCACTCCTGCCAGCCCCGCAAGGGTCTCTGGGGGTCCTGCCCACTGGGAGTTTGCCCAGGGTAGACTCTGTCCTTCCTGCTCGGTTCCGCCGTGGTGTTGAGATCCCGTCTGTTTCTGCCAGTGGGGATTGTGCGGCCACCTCAGAGCCCTTTGAAGCCCCCAGCTGCGGGTGGATGTTGTACCTGGACACAAGCCCACAGGCCGAGCTGGCTGCCGGTGGCTCAGGAGGCCTAGGGTCCCGCTCTGGCCCTCAGGAGCCGAGCTGGAGGGCCCTGCTGCTCTGGCCGGTTTTTGCTGCTGGGTCTGTCACCGTGGGCATAGTCACTACCGTAGTAACACAGTAGAAAGTTCCCCGTCAAAAAGCCCCCGAGTGCGGCGGAGGGGCCCCTTCCCTGCCAGATCCCTAGGCGCCCAGCCTGGCGTGTCTGCACAGGTGTCCAGAGCTGCCCCACGTGGTGGGCAGCTGGTGTGGTCCGGCTGCCCTGTCTCCCCAGGGACACCTGCTGCAGGGGCGGGTGGAGACTGAGCTTCCACGGGCGTGGGCACAGGGGGTGTGGGTGGTGGCCCGGGGTCTCACACACTCTCGGGGTGTGTGCTCACATCTGTGGCCCAGGCCACGGGGAGAGTGTCCACTTCGGGGATACTGTGTCTGCAGCATGTCTCCAGGGTCGCTGGGGGCCTCCTGGTGAGGCCAGGTTTGGACGAGGCCAAGGGGACCACAGAGCATGGGATGGATGGACCAGCCAGACCCGTCGAGGGGCACGTGGGTCTATCCGTCCTCCCAGAAGAAACGTTTCCCAAATCAGGTTCAAACAGCCGTCCCTGAAAGGGGGAGTCCCGCCCACCTTCCCGGGTCCCACGGGGCAGGCCCCCAGTCTGCTTGGGGAACAGGTGCTGTGGGGTGACGTGGGGTTGGGGTGATGTGGGGTGTGGTGGGGTTTAAGTGATGTGGGGTGTGGGGTGACGTGTCCGGGTAGCCCAGTGGCTATAGGGTGGAGCAGGGCCCGCTCACCAGGGCAACCCCTGTGCTGTCCCTGCCCAGACAGGCAGGTCTGGCTGAGGTTTGGGGTGGCTTCCGCTGGTGGGTTTCAGGGTCTGATGGAGTCAGCAGGCAGGGTCCTGGCGCGGCGTCCCGGAAGCCCTGTTCCTTCCGTTGTGCCTGCTGCGGGTGGGTTTGGGTTACAGGCTGCACTGCCCTGGTGACACCATATGCATGGTGATGTGGCCCCACTCAAAATCCGGGGGAAGGCGTCCCTGCTGCGCTGAGAGCAGGGCCACAGCTGGGACCCCCCGGGATGGGGTTTTGGATGGGTGCTGTAATGCTGTGGTAGCACAGCTACTCCCGATACAGTAGTCACCACAGTGACACAGACCCGCCTCCAATCCTTCTTCCCAGGGGGGCTGCGGGGCTGGAGGGGGAGGAGCCTGGGATGCCCAGGGCTGATCCGAGGGCAGAGGCGGAGCCCGGGGAAACTCCTTGCCAGAACACGGCATTAGGCGGCCGCCCATGCCACATGGTGGGGCGTTGTGAGGGGTCACTCTGGGGCCAGCAGGTGGTTCCCACCCGGGGAGGCTGGAGCGGACAGGGGTCAGTCCTGTTGCCGCTGAGCCTTGCACTCGGGGTCTGAGTTGTGCTCAGACCCGCGAGGGCGTCTGGCTCTGCCTCACCGGCCCCTCTCTGGCTGTCTCCCTTTGCCATCTGCCTGTGGACCCATCTACCTTAGAGCCACCTGGGATTGTGCCATTGTGGTGACAGGCCTCAGTGACCAGCCACTGCCAGAGCACCTGCTGTCCTCGGATGCAGTTTCAATTCCCCCTGGTTCTAGCAGGACCTGGGGCACATGCAGGTGAGGAAGTGCAGGTGTGGGGAGGCCCAGGTGCAGGGGAGGCCCAGGTACAGAGGCCCAGGGGAGGCCTAATCCTGGTTTAAGTCTTAGTTCAATGAGCTGGACGGAATTTGCCCTCCTCGAGGGCCCTTCATGTTAGTATGAAAACCGGCCTGCGTTGCTCTTTTTGGGCTCTTTGGAGCATGATTCACTTACAGAGTCCAGGAGCAGGTCTGCGTGGCAGTGACCGCGTCTGTGGAAGTCTGAAGCCCCGTCCACGAAGCC